TATTAAGGGGTCAGCCAGTGGCATAGTGGTTAAGAAACTGGACTCCCATGTGGTTGACTGCAGTTCAAGTCCCAGACCCAGCAGCTTCAAACTCATACCAAGCACATGTGTTATGTGTCCCCAAATTCCAGAGAGGAGAATGGAGGAGAAGGGATTGAGGTGTGGCCATCCCTTCCAGGGGGGAGGGTGATTTCTTGCTTTCTGTCTCTCAGTCTCTCTGGCGCGCACACGTGCCCTATAGCAAAAATCTCTAAAAACAAAAGGAAAAAAATCCAGTTATTGATTTGTTCAAATGCTTTCGAGGTAACAACAACTATATTCACAAAATAATAATAATTTGGATTTCTCCACATCTTGTTTTATTTACACACAAAACGTTTAAAAAGACTAGTTAGAAAGTTGCCAACATATTAACAGTGATGACCTCTCTGAGTAATGAAATTATTAGGTGAGTTGTATTTACTCGATTGTATTTTTCTGTAGGTTTCAGTTTTTTCTATAAAGAACAGGTACTATTATTTAATCTGAAAAAATCTTTGCGTGTCAATTAATAAAATGTAGGCCTCGGATGAGCCGTAAAGCACATTTACCTTGCTGTTGTTTGGATCGTGTTTTTCAGATTCTTCTTTTACGTTCCTAAATCCTCCTCTGAACTTGTCTTTCAGTCACTTCTTGTTCTTTCCTCTGTTCTCGGTATTTTTCTGACATGGCCTATACATCTGAAGAAGAAAGACCAGGTATTTATTTGACTTAGGATGATATAAAATCTTGGGACCAGCAGTTGGTGTAATGGCTCTGTTGCTGAACTCCCAGGTAGTCGACTGCGGTTCGAGGGCTGGACCCAGTGGCTTAAACTCACACCAGGCACGTGTGCGTGCGTGTTTGTGCCAAGATCCCAAGGGGAGAACAGGGGAGAAGGGATTGTGGCATGACCATCCCCCTGGGGGGTGATTTCTCACTTTCTGTCTCTCTGTCTCTCTCTGTCTGGCGAGCACAGGCGCCCTATAGCAAAAACCTCTCAAAAAAAAAAAAAAAAAAAACAGATGATATAAAATCTCAAAAAGGTAATTAGACTTGACTCTTTGCATAAAGTATCATTCTACTTTAAAAAATAAAGACTTAAATCACCTTACATAAAAATCCAAAACATATTTAAATAAAGCAAAATTTCTTAACCCAGGGTGCATGCATCCCCAGAGGTTCACAGACGCATTTCAAATAGTTCATGGAATTTTACGTGACTTGTAAAGTGCATGTCCACTATCCCGGAAAACAGTCCACGGCTCAGTCAGGTTCTCCTAGGGTCTGCAATTAGGGTGACAGCTGTCCTGGTCTACCTGGTTTGCCTTTAGCCGACAGTCCTGAGTCCCCTCAGTCCTGGGCAAACCTGGATGGTGATCCCTCTACCCACAGTCCGAGAAAGATCAATGGAAAATGATTCAGACTTAATTTGAGCTCAGCTGAATACCGAAGTATAAAGTAGAGGCTCCTGTCTTATTTCAGGGTGTAGAGTATTGCCATTTCTTATTTATTTTACGTCCTGAGAATTATTTTGTATATAAACCAAAGCCACTGGAAAATCCTTACCTTTGTCATTTCATTAATGGTTGCTGCATTATTATGTTAAGATATCATTATCTTGGCAAGATCACATGAATATCAGTTAGGAAGGGAAAATGAGGGCCGGCAGGTGGTGTGGTGGTTGAGGCACTGGACTCCCACATGGTCACCCACAGTTCGAGTCTCAGACCTGGCTACTTTCTTTCCCACTTTCTCTCTCTCTCTCTCTCTGGTCAAATTAAAAGACAATAATAATAATAAATTAAATAATTATTTAGTCATGTGAAGATCTCGGAGAGGAAAGACACAGAAGGAAAGACTCCTTGTATTACCCAGTGTTGCTCCTTTCTCAAAAGTATTCTTAGGACCAGAGTGATATCTCCCAAACTAAACAAAGATACAGACAAAAAAACTGGCCAAGACTGTAAACTATTGGGTCATCAGAAAAGTCATAAAGTGCTTTTCTTTGCAAAAATGCATCATGACTTTTCCAACAGCCAATAAAATAACTCATTTCTTCTCTCTCTCTCTCTCTCTCTCTGTCTCTCTCTCTCTCTCTCTTTCTCTTTTTGCTATAGGGCATGTGTACTCTCAGGAGAAAGATAGTTACAGAGAGAGCAGGAAAGCGAGAAATGACCCACACACACACCTGGGGTGGATGGCCACACTGCAATTTCGTGTCCTATTTTCTTCTCTCAGGGTTTTGGCCACATATGCATGTGCATGCACACACCCAGAGTCATTTTCAAGCTGCTTGGTCCGGGACTCGAACTGTGGAGTCAGTCATGTGGGATCCAGCGCCTTAACAACCATGCCATCTGCTGACCCATAATAACTAATATTTCATTTTTCTAGGCCAAAGTCAATCGAATATCATTTTCTTATGGTTCAGCCTACACATATGAAATTGTAACATGGGTTTTAATGAACTATCGCCTTTAAATTATATTCATCACCCTAAAATGGCACTATGAAATATGTCGACAGATACAGGAAACTAAAGAAATAAAAATAACTTCATTGTTACAGAACCTACTGTTTTCCAAGCTCTGCACTTCTTTAACTTCGGCATCTGAAACATCATGTGTATAATGCATGGGATAGCGTGTGTGGATATATTGATGGCCAAAATGTATAATACTTCATCGGAATAGCTACATTACCCTGGGTGTGGAGGGGGCATTAAATAAGCATCAGAAGCTTTGCTGTCTACTAATTGTGTGGATTGAAAAAAGCCACTGCCTTCTCTGGATTTCAGTTGACATCTATGTGAAATCGAGATCACTTTCTTATGAAGTTACCTGTAGGTATGAAGAGAATGTATTGTAATACAGTAAGTGGGAGGGACCAGCAGATGGCATAATGGTTACATCACTGGACTTCCATGTAGTCAACCGTGGTTCAAGTTCTGGACCTGGCAACTTAAAACTCACGCCAGGTGCATGTGCGTGATCCCGAGAGGAGAATAGAGGAGAAGGGATTGTGGTGTGGCCATCCCCCTGGGAAGTGATTTCCTTTCTAGCTCTCTGGCTCTCTGGTGAAAGCATGCATCCTATAACAAAAATCTCTCTCAAAAAAAAAAAAAAGGAGAAAAAATGAAAGAAAGAAAGAGGGAGACCCTTATGATTATAAAGTGTTTAAAAAATGTTGATTATTGGTGCCAGTGGGTGGCATAGTGGTTAAAGTGCTGGACTCCCACATGGCTGACTGTGGTTCGAGTCCTGGATCCAGTGACTTGAAACTCATGCCAGGGCATGTGCATGCATGCCCAAAATCCTGAGAGGAGAATAGAGGAGAAGGGATTGTGGCATGATCATCCCCCCGGGGGGAGGGGGTAATTTCTCAATTTCTATCTCTCTATTTCTTTGATGAGTGCATGCACCCTATAGCAAAAAATCTCTCTCAAAAAAATGTTGATTCTTGTCATTTAATAAAGGATAATGCTGTGGATCACTGAAGAATTATATCTCTGGTTAGAAAGAAGGCAAGATAGATTTATTTCTGGTTACTTCCCTCAGGGTCAGGAGACAGCCATCTACAAAGACGGGCTGCTGGATCAGAGCACCACACCACGGGTAACTACTATGCTGTTACCCAGTTAATGTGATCCGTGTAGACAGGCTCATTTCAATCCTGGGGCCCAGGAAGATTGTGGGCTTAGTTCATTCAAACAGTCTTCATACATGGATCGAGAAGATGGGTACGTACTGAACATTCATTTCATTACCCTGTTGTAGTTGTTCAGAGAGACATTTAAGGCCCACTGGTTTCTATGGATGTGTTTTCTATTTGTATATTCAGCACATTCTGGGCAGTCACTTCAGTCAATAGCAACCGTTCTTAGACAATGGGCTGCCCCCAGGTCCGGGTCTCAGATGCAGTGCTACCTTGCAGGTCACACGCTGGACCTGCAGTCAGCCAGGGTGACCAGGGAGCCATGGCAGAGCAGGGTAAAAACGTGAGAGGGAGGGCCAGCTGTGTTAAGGGAGCCGGATTCCACATGGCTAAGCACGTGGTTGGAGTCTCTGAACCCACAGCTTGAGAAACACGCCAAGCATGTGTGTGTGTACCCAAAATCCCCAAAGGAGGGAGAAATGGAGAAGAGATTGTGGCATGACCACATCCCACAGGAAGCATGTATTCCCTTTCCATCTCTGTGTGTCTCTTTCTCTGTTGAGTGCACACTGCCTCTGGTAACAATTTTTTTTAAGCTGTAGGG